CATCATTTATTTGTTGACTTTTTATTCTTTTGATGAATGAGCTCAATGCAATAAACTTTCCTCTTAGTACTGCCTTCATAGTGTCCTAGAGAATATCAGTGTTCTCATTTACCTCTAAGAAATTTTTTATTTCATTCTTGATTTCTTCTACTATCCATTCATCATTCAATAGTGTATTATTTAGTCTCCATTTGTTATAGTAGCTTGTATTTTTTAATTTTTTCATTGAGTTCTAATTTCATTCCATTATGGTCTAATAGAAGGCAGGGTATTATCTCTGTTAATTTGTATTTATTAAGAGTTGCTCTGTGGCTTAAGATATGGTTTATTTTAGAGTCAGAGCATGTGCTGCTGAGAAGAAAGTATAATTTTTGCTTGTTGATGGTGAAATATTCTATATATGTCTGTAAGTCTAAATTATTGATTGAATTATTTAGTTCTATAGTTTCCTTATTTAGTTTTTATTTGGAAGATATGTCCAGTAGTGAGAAAGGTGTATTAAAGTCATCCAGTATTACTGTATTGTGGTCTATTTGACTCTTAAAATTGAGAAGGGTTTGTTCAATTTACATAGATGCTCCACTGTATGGGAGTATGTCCTGCTTATATATACTTCCCTTAAGAAGTATGAAGTGTCCTTCTTTGTGTCTTCTGAATAACCTTGGTTTGACCTCTACTTCCTCTGAGAATGAAAACCCCTGCTTGTTTACACAATCCATGAGTGATAAGTCTTATCCCATCCTTTAACCTTCAGCCTGTGGATGTCTTTGCCCATGAGGTGAGTCTCTTGAAGACAGATATTATTGGGCCTTGCTTTTTAACCCAATCTGCCAGTCTATGGCTTTTGATTGATGATTTTAGCCTATTGACATTCAAAGTTATTACTGAGATATGATTTGTATTCCCTGTCATTTTGATTTATTTCTGGTTTTTGATTTGTCTGGGTTTCTCATTTGGTTGAATGTCCCTTTAGTGTAGATGCTCCCTCTGCTGGTTTTCACTTCATCCTCATGGAATATTATGTTGGGATGGTCTGTCTGTAGTGTAACTTTCTAGTGTGAATTATTATTTTTTTTAAAGAAAGAGTGAGAAAGAATTTTAATATTTATTTTTTAGTTATCGGCGGACACAAGGTCTTTGTATGTGGTGCAGAGGATCGAACCCGGGCTGCACGCATGCCAGGCAAGCGCGCTACCGCTTGAGCCACATCCCAGCCCAAGTGTGAATTATTTTAATTTCATCTTCAAATCTGAAACTTAATTTTGCTTGGTATAAAATTCTTGGTTGGCATCCATTTTCTTCAGAGCTTGAAATACATTATTCCAGGACCTCCTAGCTTTGAGAGTTTGGGCTGAGAAATCAGTTGAGATCTGAATTGGTTTCTCCCTATATATACTTTGATTTTTTTTCTCTCACAGGTAAGATTTTATCTTTATTCTGTGTGTTAGTCATTCTCATTGTAATGTGTCTTGGTGGGGGTCTGCTGTAATTTTGTACATTTAGTGTCCTATAAGCCTCTTGTATTTGATTTTCCATTCCATTCTTTAGATTTGGGAAATTTTCTGCTATTATACATTGAAAGGATTGTGCATTCCTTTGGTTTGTATCTCTGCTCCTTCATCTATTCCAATTAAGCTTAAATTTGGTCTTTTCATGTTACCCATAATTCTTGGATGTTCTTCATAGTTTCTTACCATCTTCTCTGCATGGTCAACTCTACTTTCAAGATTATATATTTCATCTTCATTGTCTGAGGTTCTGTTCCAAGGGGTCTAGTCTGTGGGTGATGCTTTCTATTGAATTTATTTATTTTTATTTTTTTAGAATCTATTTATTTATTCATTTAAGTTTTCGGCGGACACAACATCTTTGTTTATATGTGGTGGTGAGGATCGAACCCGGGCTGCACGCCTGCCAGGCGAGCGCGCTACCACTTGAGCCACATCCCCAGCCCCTTTCTATTGAATTTATAATTCGGTTTACTGATTCCTTCATTTTGAGGATTTCTGCTTGTTTTTATTTCCATGATCTCTAACTCTTTTTGAAGTGAACTTTCACTTCCTGTATTTTTTCTTTGATTTCACTCCTTATACTATACTTCACAGATCAATTTAACCATATACAATCTGAACTCCTTCCTGACCATTTCTTCTACTGTGTTATCAGTGGCTTCTGTTGTTGAAGCATCTTGGTTTGTTTGGGGTGCTTTATTCCCTTGTTTTTTCATGTTGTTAGTGTGTTTTCCCATCTAGAAGTATGGATCTAAGGCAGGATAAATTCTACCCTGTAGACCTACAGGGTCCCTGAAGGTTTCTAACACTTCACCTTTACTGGTAAGACCAATATCAACAGCACCCAGTGTACACAATATATAGACTTAAACCTAATAGCTCCCACCAAGGCGTCTGCTGCTTTCTTGTAGATGATGAGTTCAATAACTATCTATAGTACAAACAGAAAATTGGTTAAAACAGTTTACAGTTTCAAATGGTAGATGAGAGAACAGGGGTAGTATGCGATACTAGTGAGGGAGGAAGAGAAGCTAGAAGTAAAACTTCACAGGAAGAGTGGAAGAGGAGCCGACAGAGATTGGCTGTTGGTTGGAGAAAGGTTGGAAAGAAAACAGACAAAAGAGAGGAAGAATATGAACAAAGAGAAAAATATTAAAGACATAAGAATAAAACAAAAATGCAAAACACCAATCATATATTATTGTCCTCCACACACTGATGCATAAAAAAATCCTGTTCCAAATATGGTAGAGATATTAGCAAATCAAAAAATAAAATAGAGTAAATCTTGCTGGGAAGTCGAACTGTCTCTGTCAGTGTTCAACAGTTTCTCAGCTCTGTCTCTGAGAAACTTGATCACCAAACCCAGATCAGCCCCTGCAAACCCAGTCACTATCCCACTGATCTGGTCTTCAGATACCTCAGGTTCAGCAAGCTGCAGTCCCAAGATCTCAGTCCTGCTCCTACTTGCAGAGAGATCACTGGGGATCCACTCATGCAAAGGAGCAACCCCGAGATGCAGCAGCAAGACAAGGGCCACCAGCACTCTCAGCAGGAAGACCCCAGGCTCCTCAAACCCACAGGCACCCCCCACACTGGACCTGCAGGTCCCAGCTGGAGTCCTCAGACAGAGGCTCTTGTGGTAGTAAACCTGCTAGTACCCAGGCCTCAGGGCCTGGCAATCAAATCCGGAGTCTCCCCCGCAGCGGTGCTCTAAGCCGTGGTAGTGGTGGTGGTTGTCGGCAGCAGGCAGTGGGTCAGTAGCAGTGGCAGCTGCAGGGTGAGCAGCAATTGAAGCTGTGGGGGCAGCGTCACCAGGCAATTTCCAGGGATCAGCAGCAGTTTGGGCTTCAGCTGCATCCGGGCGGCTGTGTCTTCTGGGACAGCAGCAGGTGGTTGCAGCTGCAAAGGGAGCAGCATCCAGAAAGAAGACCTCCAAGCGACCTCAGGCTGGCAGCAGCAGAATCAGAGGCAGCAGCCAAGCAGGTAGCGGTGCAGGCTAGGAGTGACGTTTTGATGTGAGCCACTGATGGGGTCTCTTCTGACTGGACTGAGGGATACTTTAATTCACTGGGAACAAGCATCCATGTGGATATTTCAGCAGTAGAAATCTGGGTCATGAACACTCTTGGAAACATGCTCGGTGGATTCTGTCTCTTCATCTCATTTTAAACGGAACATTAAGGAATGCATTATTTTAGCTGTAACTATGCCAATGTATCTATCTAGAGGCCTCTTGCCATTTCTATCTTCAGTGAACTTTTTGTCCCCAAGAAAGGATTATAAATTTTGACTAATAGATTGAGATGGTATTGTGTATTTTTGGTTATCCAAAACACTCATGTAGCTTTAGGATTCTGAACTGGTGAACAAGCATGGTACACAAGACCTGAGGAGTATGCCAACTACGCTGCTTGTGACGCAATGGCTTTGTTCTTTGCTTGTGTTTGTTTCTTGTCTTGCACAAATGAACTTTTAAAAAATAAAAGCTACTTTGGAAATAAAAAGAAAGAAAGAAAACTACTGCTAATGACTTGCCTTCACCCACAGAAGGAGAGCCAAATACCAAGCCCACGTTCAATGACCTCCATCACTGCACCCGGCCCAATTGAACACTCCATTGCCACAGCTCTTCTTCATTGGCTTTTTGCATGAAGCCACTGAAACTCCTTGCTCACCACACATGTCCCTCACCACTCATGCCATTAGCTTGGTTTCTCACACCCAGAGCTCCCTCTTCAAGTCACCAGGTGCCCTGCAGGCTGGCCAACTGGCTCTGGCCTGACTTACCCACTGCAGTGCGGAGGCTCCTCAAGTTGCACACCTGACACACCATGCACTCTCCTGAGCAGGATTCGTGCCTGTGCCATGTCAAGTCTCTTAAACAAACGCAGCTACACGCAGCTACACAAAAGCCTTGTTTGCCTGCTATTACATGGCACAAGATGACCGACTTGAGTTATTCTGTACAGTTTTATTAATCCTTTTTTTTTTAAATAATCGAATCTCTTTTTTAATGTGTTCTCCTTGGTTTTACATGAGAGTACAGTATATTATGACATATTTGTATAAACAAGGGTACATCTTATTCAAATTAGGGATGCTAGTCTTGTGGTTGTACATGATGCGGAGATTCTTTGTAGTGAATTTATAGTGTACAAAGGAAAGTTAAGTCACATTCATTCCACTGTTTTTCTTATTCCTGACCCTCCTCACTTCCCTTCAATCCCCTTTGTCTAATCTACTGAACTTCTATTCTTCCTCCCCAACGCTTACTGTATGTGAGCATCCATAGACAGAATATTCAACCTTTGGTTTTTCAGGGATTAGCTTATTTCACTTATCATAATAGTGTCCAGATCCATCTATTTCTCAGCAAATGTCATAAAGTCATCCTTTTTTATGGCTGGTTAATATTTCATTGTGTATACATCATATTCTCTTTATCCATTAACCTGCTGAAGGGACCTAGGTTGGTTCATAGCTTACCTATTGTGAATTGAGCTGCTATAAACATTGATGTGGCTGTGTCACTGTAGTATGCTGATTTTAAGTCCTTTGGATATATACCTTAGAGTAAGAGAATTGGGTCAAATGGTGGTTCCATTATAAGGGTTGTTTTGGGGTGCAGAGTGGGAGCACATTCCAGCAATAGAACTCCAGGGCACTTGACCACTGAGCCACATCCCCCGTCCTATTTTGTATTTTATTTAGAGACAGGATCTCACTGAGTTGCTTAGCACCTCACTTTTCCTGAGGCTGGCTTTGAACTCATGATCTTCCTGCCTTAGCCTCCTGAGCCACTGGGATTACAGGTGTGTGCCATCACGCCCAGCCCCATAACAAGTTTTCTTGAGGAATTTCCATACTGTTTTCCAGAGTGATTGCACCAATTTGCAGTTCTACCAGCAATGTATTATGTACCCTTTTCCCCACATCCTCACAAACATTTATTGTTACTTGTATTCTTGATTGTTCCATTCTAATTGGAATGAGATGAAATCTCAGTGTAGTTTTAATTTGCATTTCTCTAATTGCTAGAGATGTTGAATATTTTTTCAAATATTTGTTGACCATTTGTATTCACTTCTGTGAAGTATCTGTTTAGTTCCTTTGCTCATTTATTGATTGGGTTATCTGTCTTTTGGTATTAAGTTTTAGAGTTCTTTATATATCCTAGAGATTAATGCTCTATCTGAGGTGCAGGCAGCAAAGATTTTCTCCCATTCTGTAGGCTCTCTCTTCACAATGTACAGTGAACCCCAGGCCAACATCATTTAAATGGAGAAAAAATGAAAGCATTCCCTCTAAAAACAGGAACAAGACAGGGATGCCCTCTTCCACGACTTCTATTCAACGCAGTCCTTGAAACACTAGCCAGGAGCAATTAGGCCAAAGAAAGAAGTTAAAGGGATACAAATAGTTCATATAAGAGCTCAAACTATCCCTATTTGCTGTGACATGATCCTATATTCAGAAGACTCAAAAAACTTCACCAGACAACTTCTAGAACTCGTAAATGAATTCAGCAAAGTAGCAGGATATAAAACTAACACCCATAATTCAACTGTGTTCCTATACATCAAAGATGAATCAGCTGAAAGAGAAATTAGGAAAACTATCCCATTCACAATAGGCTCAAAAATAAAAAAAACATGGGAATCAATCTAACAAAAGAGGTGAAAGACCTCTACAATGAAAAATATGTAACACTAAAGAAAAAAAATTGAAGACCTTAGAAGATGGAAAGATCTCCCATGATCTTGGATAGGCAGAATTAATATCATCATAAAGGCCATACTACCAAAAGTGCTCTACAGATTTAATGCAATTCCTATTAAAACTCCAATGACATGGGGCTACAGTTGTAGCTCAGTGGCAGAGCACTTGCCTAGCATGTGTGAGGCACAGGGTTCGATCCACAGCACCACAAAAAAAACAGAAACAAAAACAAAGCTTTTTTAAAAAAAATTCCAACAGCATTCTTCATAGAACTAGAAAAGCAATCATGAAATACATTTGGAAAAATAAGAAGCCCAGAATAGCCAAAGAAATCCTCAGTGAGAAAAGTAAAGCAAGAGGCATCACAATACCAGGCCTTAGATCACACTACAGAGCTGCAAAAACAAAAACAGCAGGCACTGGCACCAGAGCAGACATGGAGAGCAACGCAGCAGAACAGAGACACAGAGACCAACCCACGTGAACACAGTTAGTGCACTCTAGACAAAGGCGCCATTAACATGCACTGGAGAAAAGATGGCCTCTTCAACAAGTGGTGCTGGGAAAACTGGAAATCCATACGTAGCAGAATGAAATTGTGAGTCCTTCTGTTTTGTCCCTCAGGACCAGCTACCAGTGTTTGGTATCACAGATAGATTTACCTGTACTGCTCCCTTCTCTCCATCTTCTAAAGTTAGCAGCGACGACTTTACTTATCACACATGAGTCTTTGTATAAATACTGTCTCACTCACAAAAGCCATATTACTACTACTGCTGCTTTACGAGTAAAGAAAGAAACTGAAAGAAATAAACTTGTCCAAGGATATGTGACTAATATGTGCTTAGGAAAAGCCCAAAGCTAGTGCTGATGTTCATCTAGGCACAAATACTAGCAAAAGAGTGAAACTTGATAAATACCATGAAGAAAAGATGAAAATTGAAGAAAGAGGCCCAGTTACTCCTGGCCAATACAGACATAACAAGTATGATATAAGACAGGCTGGCAAAGTCATCTTGGGCTTTCCACCCATTTTCTGAAGTGAAATAAGAGACCACAGCTGACTCCGTGGATAGAGACGAGCTGACCTTGCCGAGCCTTGCACAAGGCACAGATTATGAGCAATAAACAGGTGTTACTGTTTGGAGTTACTAAGCTCTTGGATGGTTTGTCACCCAACAACAGATATCTGAAAGAGATTTTAAAGTACAGCGTAATTATGGGCATAGAGAGAAACTAGACTTTGCTGATCTATTAGATGTTTGCTTGGAGAACGGGAAGCGTCGAGGATGAGTCTGGTTTTGCACTGAGTGGCTGAGTCACGAGGGTAGGAAACGTGAGTGTGTGTGTGAGGGGTAACACACCTTCAGCATACTGACTGTGAGACGCAGCTCTGGACCCGTCAAGTGAAGCTCTCTAATGGGCAACTGTACATACAGGACTAGAATTAGAGAGAAATAAAAAGGAGAAAGCTTTTTGTGAATCATCAGCACTAAACAAATGATGGCTGAGGTCATGAATTTAGACAATTATGAGAAAAATAAAAAGTGAAAAGAGGGGGATAGTAGAGGATAGGAAAGGCAGCAGAATGCAACAGACACTAGTATGACAATATGTAAAAAAGTGGATGTGGAACCGATGTGAATCTGCAATATGTATACGGGGCAAAAATGGGAGTTCATAATCTGCTTGAATCAAATGTATGAAATATGATATGTCAAGAGCTTTGTAATGGTTTGAACAACTAATAATAAAAAAAGAGAAAAAATAAAAATAAAAAAAGTGAAAAGAATGAAAGGTCCAATTCAGACGGTGGAAACAGTGTATGAGACAGGAGAGAATGAAGACGAGTGGGACAGAAGGAGATGAACACATGCAGGAACACAAAGGACACCGACAGGAGCGCAGGGAATGGGAATCAGAAAGTACCATGAATGTCGTAAACCATCCCCGGGGGCTGAGAGGTGAGTGAGAAGGTGGGAAGAAGGACTCAGAGGCCCGGGCTTTAAGGAAAGGAGAAGAAGGCGCCAGAAGGAGGAGAACGTGAGCAGAGGGAGGAGGTTTTTATTTTACTTTTTCAATGTGAAAAAGTCAACAGAGACGATGGTATTGCAAGAGAACAAGTGAAAAGACAGCCCATGGTGTCCAGACTAGCCAGAGAAGGCAGTAAAAGCCAAGCCTTCACAGGACTCTCCTGTTCCTGACCCACTGCTTGGGAACGGGGTGTGTAAACCAGGGTGTGTAAAATACACTAGCATTTTAAAAATGCATCGTTATAAGAGATTTCACATATACATGCATATTCATACATACTGAATGAATGAAAGTTCCATTCTTAGGAAAAGAGGTTTCTCTTAATTTGTTTGCATATTATATCTGCCAGAGATTAAATTCAAGTGCTGTGGATCTAGTAAAAATCTAAAGTTTTTTGCATCCCACAAACCTGTGCTATCATAGATCTTCCACTAGCAACATGTGTCTGCTTAAATGTAAATTAAACAAAATTTAGAATGTCAATTAAAGTAAAATCAAATAAAATGAAGACTTCCTTTCCTCTGATGCACTGGCCACATGCAGAAACCACATGCAGGCTGCGGAAGTACACTGGACAGAGCAGACAGAGTGTGTCACCGTCGTTGCAGAAAGCTCTCTTCTATGGCACTGTCATGTTCCTGGAGTGACATGACCAGCAGATGCTCAGTCATGCCTCGCTGGCCACACAGGAGAGCTCACACTGATTCAACCTTCAAAGACACTTCTGAGAACACAGCAGAACTACTGTTGTCTGCAGAATTCCCAATTTGGTTAAACTGTGTAGCTTACTGGTGTATTAGTTATCCAATTTTCTAAAATGGACTTTAATCCTTGATATCCCATCATGCTATATACAGGACACCGACAAAAACTTAACTGAGCACTTTTATAGGTGTCCTACACAACGGTGTGCATTTTTATAGGTGTCCTATAGGCAGGATGATGGACACAATGAGTTAAGAAGAACATTCCTGTTGTTGGGGAACATTACAGCTTCTAAGAGCTATGAACCAACTTTCAGAAATACTCTCCAAGGGAAACTTCATACATATTCTAATCTGATTCCTACACAAATGTGGGGCTTACACAAATATATCTATGTATTTTAGAAATAAGAAACTGGTGTTTGGTAACATTAGGCAACATGTACTCACATAGCTAATCAAAGTCAGAGTGTGGCTTCTGCCTCTCATCTGTAAACCTACAAGACAGAAGTTATTTCCATGACCCATAACCCACTCAGTAGGAAAAAAATTACACTTACTTGCCCATGTACTTAGATTTTTAACTAAATCCAAAGTACCTGAATATAATATCTTAGACATATGAAATAACATGCCAATGAATTTAGGAGAAACCTCATTTCCTCAGAGATGATACATTACTTCATTCAATCATAAAACGTACCTTCTCCAGGAAGAAAAACTAAAAGGATCTTTCTCTTTAAAAAGTTATTTTTCAAACACAGTTAACCTTTTACTTACCTTGTTGAACAGCAAATGTCTGGCTAGCCGAAAGGAGCTTTGTCTGTCCTGGATTATACCTTGTTCCCTCTGGAAAAATCACAAGATACATCTGTGGGACATAAAGGAAATTCAGTTTGCTTTTTTTGTTCCAGCTTTGTTGTTGTTACTGTTAATTTACCCATGTTAATCCTATTATTACAGGATTTACATACAACATTTTTTCAGGTAGAGCAATCAAACTGCACACACTCACTTGAGTCTGAACACAGCATGGACTACATGTAAAATGCAATCCTCACGGTGGGCCAGCCACTGAGGATCTAAAACGGTTCTAATAACATGCTAGCATTCACAAATCGAAAATCTGGCCACACCATACTGACTTGTAATGAAATCACCTTTCCGCTCTAAGAATCTATACCATTTTATTTCATTTGTCCATTGACTTAATAACATTGCAGCTGCACATTTATACTGGTATTCAGTGTATTTCTATACATGTATACAGTATGCACTGACCCTGCCCCAACCATCCTGTTTTCACCCTTTCCCCCTAAAAACCCAACATGACATTTAAAAGGGTGCAAATTTTAGAAATTAATGTTAAGTATCAAGACAAAAGTACATCTCAAGTACTAAATGTACTAAAAGTACATTTCCATTTTAGGAAAACTATATATATACATTGAATATTCCATAATATAAAAGGTAATATCTGCATTTTGAAAGCTTTGTACAATAATCCTATTTTATAGAACTTCTCTAATGCATTTGCAGCTTCATATTAGTTACATAAGTTGAAGTAATATAGTACCTATAAATAAAACGAGAGTATCAAGTATCTACTAAGCAATCAATTAGTCTAAGCTTTTTATAAATACCTACCTGGGAAGGTAAAAACAAAAACATTAAATCATACAATAACAAACTCTCAGTTTGAGAAGTGAGTTACAAAAACTACACTGATATTTTTAATTGACAGCCAAAAGAAAAGACAAAAGTAAAACATTCACCTTTTCAAATAAACACGTAGAGTAGGGACTTTGGATTTGACTGAGAGGCACTCTACCTCTGAGCCACATCCCTATTCCTTTTTATTTTATTTTTAAAATTCTAATGTTTTTTATTTTTTTTATAATAAGGTTAGAAATCAATAATAAGTTAAAAAACAGAAACCACTCTAACACCTGGACACTAAATAATAATACACTTTTGAATGATGAATGGATGGCAGAAGAAATCAAGGGAGAGATATTGGAGGAAGATGGCGGCGAGGGGAGTGCATTGCCCCCGTGTGCTGCTTCACTGTGTGGGAGTATGACAAGTCAGGACGGCTAAAGGATATCTTGTTAGGAATTTCCAGCAATAGTGGGGTGCTCCGGAACCTGGAGGAAGGATTTCCATCGCACGAGGATCGGCTATGGGGACTCAAATGCGAGAGGTTTGTCGCACGGAGGGTAACACTGCTTATTCAGCAAATCACCCCGCGGCTAGAGTCTGCAGCGCGCGCTGGGATAGAGACGCAGGGTTACAGCGCTGCAGTTTCTGCCAGCCGCTCAAGCACCGTACTCAGGGCTGAATTCTGGGTTCGAGACGGGGGAAGGAAGCGGTCCATCTCGGTTCTCCACACCGGTCAGACCACAGAGGAGGCCAGCAGCCACCATGTTGGTATACTGACCTCACCTTCCCTGTTTTCGACTGACCGCAGCTCATTCAGCCATAGAACAGGTAATTTCAGGCTGCAATTCGCCTGCGGCTTGCAGACAGATTGCTAGGGTTCAGCGCATGGGTGCTTCTTAGAATCTGATCTTATCGGAGCGAACACCGAGCGCGGGGCGGCCGAGTTCCGGCTCCCGGAACCGTCCTGGAACCGCCCTGGCCCAGGGCTGCGGAGCCTGCGAAGGCTGCTTCTTGGACCCTGCTACTATCAGAGCATACACCAAGCACTAAGCAGCCGAATTCCGGCTCCCGGAACTGAGCCCGCGGGGACTGCTTCTTGGAGCTTACACTTATAGGAGCTTACACCGAGCACGGAGCGGCCGAGTTCCGGCTCCCGGAACTTCCCTGGACCGGGGCTAGGAGCCCGCGGAAACTGCGTCTCGGTCCGGGTCCTGCTGAGGGCCGGTCAGGACTCACCCGTTGCTTTGGTTGCCCGGCAAGGGGAACGAAATGCTGCCATTCGCATAGGATACCAACATGGCAGAGATCTGATGTCATCAGAAAGTGACGGAGGAGAGAACTTCATCAATACCAGCGGTGACATAAGCAGTTGGTCTCCTGGTAGGGGGGGGTGAGGCACAGTCACCCGTATCCTCAATTTGTCCTCGAGCCAGAGGGGAGGAGCCGGGCCGCCGCCAGCGCCCGGAGCAGGCCCAGCGGCTCGCCAGCGTGGTGACCGCGTGACCCCAATTGGAGAGGGGGCGGAGCGGAGCCGCCACCCGCACCCGCAAGGTGGGCAGACCCGCGACCCAGTGGTACATGGGCGTGGTAGGAGGGGCAGGGCAGAGCCGCCCTTCACGCTTGCAAGGTAAACAGACCTGTGACAGCCTGGCGGGTCAGGCCCAGTGGCCTGCCAGTGTGGTACACACGTCACCCCAACTGGAGTAGGGGCAGAGCAGATCCTTCTCCCACGCCCGGATCAGGCCCTGCCGGTGTGGTGGTCACGTGACCCCAATTGGAGTGGGGGCGGAGCGGAACCGCCACCCGTGCCCGCAGGGTGAGCAGACCAGTGATCAACCTGCAGATCAGGCCCAGGGGTCCGCAGGCATGGTAGGAGGGGCAGGACAGATCCGCCGCCCGCGCCTCCAAGGTAGGCAGACCTACAACAGACCGGCGGATCAGGCCCAGGAGCCTGCCAGCGTGGTACAAACACCACCCTAATTGGAGTAGTGACAGAGCAGAGTCGCCGCCCGTGCCAGGAACAGGCCCAGCGTCCTGCAGGCGGGGTAGTCACGACACCCCAATTGGAGTAGGGGCAGAGCACAGCCTCCACCCGTGCCCGAAAGGTGGGCAGATCTGCAACCGACCAGCGGGACAGGCCCAGTGGCCTGCCGGTACGACAGACACGTCACCCCATTTGGAGTAGGGGCAGAGTAGAGCCGCCGCCCGCGCCTGCAGGGTAGGCAAACCTGCAACCGACCAGCGGATCAGGCCCGGTGGCCTGCCGGCATGATACACTCGTCACCCCAATTGGAGTAGGGGCAGAACAGAGCCGCCGCCAGCTCCCAGAACAGGCCCAGTGACCTGCCGGCGTGGTAGCCACGACACCCCAATTGGAATAAGGAGAGAGCAGAGCCGCCGCCCGCACCTGCAGGAAAGATACGCAAGCAGTATGAAAAGACAAGGAAAGAAAGGACCACAAGCAATGCAGGTCAACGCAACTTTAGAAGAGGTAACAGCTGCAGCAGATAGAATGTCAGATAAAGAATTCAGGATATACATGCTTCAGATGATCTGGAGTATCAAGGAAGACATTAAACAGCAAAATCAGACAATGAAAGATCACTTCGACAACGAATTACGCAAACAAATCCAGGAAGCAAAGGATCAACTATACAGGGAGATAGAGGTTATAAAAAACAAGCAATCAGAAATCCTAGAAATGCAGGAAGCAATAAACCAACTTAAAAACTCAATGGAGAATACTACCAGCAGAGTAGAACACTTAGAAGATAGAACATCAGACAATGAAGACAAAGTATTTCAACTGGAAAAGAACATAGACAGCTCAGCAAGACTGTTAAGAAACCATGAGCAGAACATCCAAGAAATATGGGATAACATTAAGAGACCAAACTTAAGAGTCATTGGGATACAGGAAGGTACAGAGCTCCAAACCAAAGGAATGAGCAGTCTATTCAATGAAATAATACAAGAAAACTTCCCAGACTTGAAGAATGAGACAGAATCCCAAATCCTAGAAGCCTACAGGACGCCGAATGTGCAAAATCATAAGAGATCCACACCTAGACACATTATAATGAAGATGCCCAACATACAGAATAAGGAGAAAATTTTAAAAGCTACAAGAGAAAGGAAGCAGATCACATTTAGGGGTAAGCCAATCAGGATAACAGCTGATCTTTCAACACAGACTCTGAAAGCTAGAAGATCCTGGAATAACATATTTCAAACACTGAAAGAAAATGGGTTCCAACCAAGAATTGTGTATCCAGCAAAATTAAGCTTCAGGATGGAGGATGAAATTAAAACCTTCCACGATAAACAAAAGTTTAAAGAATTCGCAGCTAGAAAACCATCTCTTCAAAACATCCTCGCCAAAGCATTACAGGAAGAGGAAATGGAAAATAACAATGAAAACCAACAGTGGGAGGTAGGACAGTAAAGGGGGGGGGGATAATCAAAGAGGAAAACAAACCATGTTTAGTAACAGAAATAAACAAATATGGCTGGAAGAACAACCCATATCTCAATAATAACCCTAAATGTTAATGGCTTAAACTCACCAATTAAGAGACACAGGCTAGTAGAATGGATCACAAAACAAGACCCAACAATATGCTGCCTACAGGAGACGCATTTGATAGGAAAAGACATACATAGGCTGAAGGTGAAAGGTTGGGAAAAATCATATCACTCATATGGACTTCGGAAACAAGCAGGCGTGTCCATACTCATATCAAATAAAATAGATTTCAAGCCAAAGTTAATCAAAAGAGATAAAGAGGGACACTACATACTGCTTAAGGGAACCATACACCAACAAGACATAACAATCATAAATATATATGCCCCAAACAATGGTGCAGCTATGTTCATCAAACAAACTCTTCTCAAGTTCAAGAGTCTAATAGACCACCACACCATAATCATGGGAGACTTCAACACACCTCTCTCGCCACTGGACAGATCTTCCAAACAAAAGTTGAATAAGCAAACTATAGAACTCAATAACACTATTAATAACCTAGACCTAATTGACATATATAGAGTATACCACCCAACATCAAGCAGTTACACTTTTTTCTCAGCAGCACATGGATCCTTCTCAAAAATAGATCATATATTATGTCACAGGGAAACTCTTAGACAATATAAAGGAGTAGAGATAATACCATGCATCTTATCTGATCATAATGGAATGAAACT